TTGTCCGTGCGGACATTGGCCGGCCCAAAGGAAGGCTGATGTTTGGCCGGACAGTGAACACACATGCAATGATTTGAAATATAAAGATTTTGTGTGTTCATTGTCCATGCGGACATTGGCCGGCCCAAAGGAAGGTTGATGTTTGGCCGAGCAGTGAACACACATGCGATGATGAATATTGATATTGTAAAGCTATTATCCATGTGAATAATAGTCGGTCCAAAGAAAGGCTATTGTTTGACAGGATTTATTATCAATGTTTGATTGTTGCATTGAGAGTACCATTTACATTTGATGTTTCTGTGCAAACACTAAATGTCAAGTTGTGCTGGGTATCTTGCCTTTGTAATTTATATTATTGATTATATGTTGTTTTTGTTCTCTGTTCAGTTTCAGCAACTGCAAATAATGTTTCTGCTCAAATCAGTGTCATTCCCATGCTGAATGGTACAAACTTTAAGACCTGGAAAGAGAATGTGGAAATCGTTCTCGGATGCATGGATTTAGACCTTGCGTTAAGCACGGAGCGACCCATCCCGGCTGAGGACAATTCCAATGAAGCCAAAGTTGAGAAATGGGATCGCTCTAATCGCATGAGTCTGATGATTATGAAACGTTCCATACCGGAAGCGTTTTGAGGCTCTAATTCTGAGAGCAATAATGCTAAGGAATCCCTTGTGGCGATACAACAGTATTTCGCCAAGAATGAGAAAGCGGAGACTAGCAACCTTTTAGCTACTCTAATTTTTATGAGGTACAAGGGAAAAGGAAATATAAGGGAGTACATACTGGAAATGTCAAATCTTGCGGGTAAACTAAAGGCACTAAAGTTAGAGATAAATGATGATTTACTCGTGCATTTAGTTCTCATTTCTCTTCCTGCACAATTCAGTCAATTTAAGGTGAGTTATAATACTCAAAARGAGAAATGGACTCTTAATGAGCTCATTTCTCAATGTGTGCAAGAAGAAGAAAAAATCCAGAGAGAAAAGACAGAAAGTGCTCACTTAGCATCAACCTCTCAGAATAATAAAAAGAAGAGGACTAAGGATATTGCAAATGGAAYACCCACGCAGAAAAAGGCGAAGAAGCAAGGTGATGGATTTACCTGTTTTTTCTGCAAGAAAGGAGGACACATGAAGAAAGAGTGTCCCAAATACGCCGCCT